ACCATGTCAGTGCTGAGCGGCCACATATTTTTTAATAAGGCAGAAGAGAGTCTGCGTCTGTGATCTGCAGGGGTCCAGGGCAGGGCTCCTTCCTGTGGGGTGTAAGGAAGGCTGCTGGTCACATCACGTGCATCTTTAGACCTGACTTGATCACCAGTCTACCTTTTCACTGTTATACTTTCAATAGATGCCTGTTATTTAAATTTGATTTTGAAATTAAACAGAACAGCAATATAATTTTGATTTGGCTAAGATAAATCAATCTTTCCCTTCATGCTTTGGCAAGAAGACTGAGATTTCTAGAATATAGTAGAGTGGAGCAAAGATTGAATGGTTTTGGTGTCCTTCCTGTCTTTCTTTTAAGCTGTTTTCTTTCTCAGTTATTCATCAACTCAACTTGTCTTAATAAATTCTTCTGTATAAAAGATGATCTGGGTCCAATATCCACTGATAAGGAGGAATGTGAGTGAGAGGCTTGGCTTGGAACTTGCCTACATATGCAGTTTATGGTTGACCCTGGCAGTTTAAATGTTCTCTCTTAGTTTCCTGCTATTCAATAGTAGGTAACTCCCTGGAAGAATTACTTATGGCTAGGAATGCTGTTATCAGAACATCTTAGTTTAGTGGTACTTAGGACACGGCAAGGAGGCACTGGATTCACTGAGATAGAAATCCACCTTTAGGTAGAAACGTGTGTCTGGGTTGTTGCTTTCTTACAGTATCAAGACTAGGGGCAGCTCGGTAGCACAGTGGTTAAGTTCGCGCACTCTGCTTTGGCAGCCCAGGGTTCATGGGTTCAGATCCTGGGCGCAGACCTTCATGCTGCTCATCAAGCCATGCTGTGGCGGCATCCCACATACAAAACAGAGGCAGATCGGCACAGATGTTAGATCATGGCGAATCTTCCTCAAGCAAAAAGAGGAAGATTGGCAGCAGATGTTAGCTCAGGGCCAATCTTCCTCAGCAAAAAACCAAAAAACAAAAAAACCTCCGCACCATGAGAATATCAAGGCTTGTTTCTGCATGACAGTTTTAGGAGGAAGTGCTCCAGTGTGTCTCCAGAGGTTTGCTGTGGCTCTTTACAGAAGTTGGGCTGCTTCTGGTGGGTCATATGTAGTTGTTAAGAACACAGCCTCCAGACTGTCTGAGTTCCCTTCCTCCACTGTGTATCTTTGTGGCCTTGGGCAAGTTGTTTAACCATTCTTTGCCTCAGTTTCCTTATCTGTACAAGGATAATAAGGGTACATGAATCACGGTTGTTGAAAGGATTCAATGAGTAATGCATATAAAGCACTCCATCAGTGTTACTTAGGATGAAACTATAGGAAATGTATGCATAGTTCTGTGCTGGGCTACAGGAGGTATGACAGTTTGAGATTAACTGGAAATGTTCCCTCGGAGTTTGTCCCAGCCCTCCCTAACTTAGTTGTACTCTGATAAACCCCTTTGAATGGAGTTAACAGTTCTTTCTTCCCTCTTGAAGGGAATGGGGATATTGGAGCTGTCTGCAGTGACTTTATCACTCTGAGCTCCATGAGGTATAATATTCCTTTTTACTTTTTAAAACAACACATGCTGCTATTAAGTATTAAATAGCAAGATGAAGCTTTATGATTTTAAATCACTTTTAAATGCTCCAAAATCTCTCAAAGGACGTTTTTGGAATAATGGTCGTCCTCTCCTTAGGCTGGCCCGAGTTTTACCTTCTTCGGCAGAACTGACAGTGCCTGGCAGGGGGCCCTGTTCATAGTCGGGACCCTTCTTCAGTTTGCTCTGTAGCTGTTACTTTAACATTCCATTTTCTCTTCACATTGCGAATATTCTCATTGTTAAGGGAGGGTTAGTTGGCTTTATGCCTTCAAGGGTCTGATGTTCTGACCACTTAGCAATTGAACTAGGATTCTAGGTCAGACAAAACTAGTTATAAGCATAAGACTTTTTTTTTTTTTAATCTTCCTCCACCCCAATCAGGAGAAGCTGTGTTGTAACTGAGCTTGGGGAACCTACCTCTGTCTTTAATATCTGACCCACAGATTCATTCTATTCCTGGGAATTTGGATCAGAATTCTCAAGTCTTGAGCCAGGCCACACTGCCATCACGACTCTATTCCTGGTGGTGTCATTCTTGGCTTAGGCTGTTTGCTGTGAAGTTTTAAGTTATTTCATCATAATGGGATTGTATGATTTTTAAAAGCAGGGACTTGGTTATATGTCCTGATTCATTCTAATAAAGTTGGTATCAGTTTTCTTTCTAAAATTAATTTTTATGATTATCAAAGTCACATATGTATAGAGCATAAAAGATAAAGTTCTCTGAGGCTTATAATAAAAAGCCGCATTCCCCTGTCACACTCCCCTCACCCTGGGCACCCTGCTCCAAAGGCAGCTGCTTCCAACTCTTCATATTTCTAAACAAAATGCTTATATGGCTATATTTTGAAGTTTCAAACTTATCTACAGACTTCCCTCTGTGGAAGATGAAGATTGAACTCTTTTATACTATCCCTTTTCTCAGCCTCTTAATATAGCCCATATTACAATTTTTGGTTAAATCACTTCAAAGCAGTATAGCATAGTGAGGGCTCTGGGCTCCAATTCTAGCCTCACCAACCACTGGATTTTTGTGATTTGGGGCAAGTTTTTTAATCTTGGTGCCTCAGTTTCCTCAAGAATAATCTACCTCCTAGGATTGCTGTGAATATTGCGTGACTTAGTACACATGAAGCATCTGGAGTGTCTGGCACATAGTGAGTTTTAAATCAACTCCAGCTGTCATAATCTTCAATATCATTATGATCTATGGCCATCTCATATCTCCCTCTGCATTTAAAGGACGGGGCTGGTGTGGCAGTTACAGGTGAACTGGTTAGCTGTAAATCTCTCCTGCAGGCTTGACCCTGTAAGCTTTTGTCATGGATGCTGAGAGAATTTGGACCTCCTGAGGACAGGCCACTTACTAAGGAAGAGAAGAGCCCAGAAGGGGCTGACTGAGCGTGCTCCATTCCTTCTACCAACAGCACCAGTCAGAAAGTCATCTTCCCCAGGAGTAGTCTCTAGGGGGGTGGAGACAAGCCTTGAGTTGCCTCCAGGGAAAGCTCCTGAGGGAAACAAGAGGCCAGGGAATGTGGAAAGTTCCCTGTGGCAAGTCTTAACTCGCACAACATTAGGACAGATGAGTTTGTCCTGTGGGTGCATATTTATGATGTCGACAACATAAGTGCGTACGCACCATATTGCTTTTTGAAATTTGTAACATCCAAACATGCCAGTGTGAGGTATGCTCCCAGGAAAATTATGAATCTGTGTTAAATTTCTTTGTTCCTTTTTAACCAAGTCCATCCATCAGGTGACCTCTAGTAGCATCCAAACCCAGCAACAGTAGAGGTAGTTTCTGGCTTATTTGTCTTCCCCAATAATAATTTGTTCAAAATACAGAAATTGAGAGAGTGCCCCATGATATGGAAACCTTTGAAAGAGAATTTAATATAAAGCAACTACTTCTTCCCTGAGGAATAATTTTGGGAAAAGAAACTTGCCTTACACTCAGGCATAGTGAGTAAGTTGCTGGCATTTTCAAACAAATTCATCATCTTCTGCTTTCCCCACTCCCCAAACTGATTCGTTTTCTTTATTCTTAGACTCTGCCTCTGCTCTTCCCCCACTTTGTCACATAGCCAGATCTTGTAAGAGTCAACCTTATTGCCACTTCCTTCATTTTTTTATATCTAATAAATGATAAGTTCTGTTGAGTCCATCACTCACATCTCTCCAGTCTGTCCCTTTGGATACTCTGCTACTTCTGAATTCGGACCATTGTCGTTTGTCACTTGTAGCAGCCTTCCAACTGCATCCCTCTCAGGCTCCCCCCTGGATAGTTCACTCTCCAAAATGGTGGCAGAGTGAAGTTTCTAAAATACCATCCGATCATGTAATTTCTGGGTTAAAACCTAGTGATGACTCCTTAACATCTAAAGGATAGAGCAAGGACCTGGCCCTGTGGCCGAGTGGTTAAGTTCACACACTCCGCTTCTGCGGCCCAAGGTTTTCACCGGTTTGGATCCTGGGCGCAGACATGGCACTGCTTGTCAGGCCATGCTGAGGCGGTGTCCTACATGCCACAACTAGAAGGACCCACAACTAAAATATACGACTATGTACTGAGGGGATTTGGGGAGAAAAAGCAGCAAAGGAAAAAAAAAAGAAGATTGGCAACAGTTGTTAGCTCAGGTGCCAATCTTTAAAAAAATAAAATAAAATAAAGGATAAAGCATATTTCTTGGGATGGCAGACAAGGCTGCGTTGTGATTCTGGCTGCACCCTTAGATAACCACTTACAGATATTAATTTTGTACATGCTCTTCCCTCTACAGGGAGTGTTTCTGCCTCCTCTTTCCTCCTTCCTTGCCTGATTAGGGCCTGTTCATCCTTCACGTAAGTTTGAGTGCTACCCTGAGGAAAGAGTGTCTGACAGCTCCTTCCCTCCCATGTCTGGGGTGGGCACCCCTCCTAAGTGGTCCCATAATACATGGTTCACACCTTGGTCAGTTTTCACGCTGTACACTGCTCTGTCTTTGTCTGTCTCTCTTGCACATGAGCTTCTTGAGGTTAGGGATTGAGATCCCCAGTCCTCAGCAGAGTCTAGACTCAATACATGTTTATTGTGTGAGTAAAGCTGTGTATCCCCTTCCCATTCATATGTGTCCATCTAATTTCCTGGACTCTTTGTGTAAAATGCTATATCTTTTCTCTGTTAGATTTGATTTTGTTGCTTTGAGTCTCCTCTTCTTAGAGATTTTGAGTTCTGATTTTGCCAATTAGCATATGAACCATTCTTCCTAGCTTTTTGTCCCCAACTAGGATGGCAGCTCCATGAGGGCGGGGATGTGTGTCTGTTTTCACTGCTGTCTACTCAGCTTTTAGAACAGTACCTGCATGTATGTTATAGGCATGCAATAAATTTTTGTTGTATGAATGAATGTGTCGTGTACAAATTTGATAAATAGAACTCATGTTTCCTTTTAAGTCTTGGCTTAGTCCTGTGAATCTTACAGCAGAACAAGGCTGGACTAAGAAATTCAGGGAAAGTCTTAATGACTAATTAGGGCTATTTCATTGTGAGAGAAGTATTCTAGCAACAACTGATACCATACTGTAAGTAGTTTTAATTGTACATGCAAGTATTCTTTTCTGGCTTTTCAGAAAGCATGCTGCCGGAGTAAGGGAGGAACAGCTTACTGTGGACAGAGGAGGTGGATTTGGATCTACTCCTCTTCGAGAAGGATAGAGAGATCTGGTATATGTCCAGCAATAACTTCCCTTCAAGGATTGAATGTTCCCATTCATTCATATACTTGGTATGTTTTGAGTATCTACTATGAGATGAAGAATAGAAGAGGGGAAAGCATGTATAAGGCATAATGATGGCATTTAAGAGACTTAGACCAGGGGTGTGTGTGTGTGTGTGTGTGTGTGTGTGTGTGTGTAAAAAGACATTAAACATGGTAAAGAACCTTGGGTCAGTGACAGTGGCACCATGGTAAGTGCTGGAGAAGCTCAGAGGGAGAGAACACTGACAGCCAATATGATGGAACATTTCTGGAAGAGCTTGGTTCTAGCATATTCCTCCATAGAAGGGCATTTTAAGGAGCTTTATTGGGTCCTTATTATCCTGTTGAAAGGGTTACTAACTTGTTCTTTAAAAGCTTCCCCAGCTTAGGTGCACTTACAAGAGGTTATAAAAGCAGTATGTTTGTTTACAAGGGGTGAAGGAGTAGACAGAGCAGAGCTTTGGACCAGGCAGTATAAATCTAGAGGCTTCCACTTAATAGCTGGGCACCCTTAGGCAAATCACTTAATCTCTGAGCTTTGGCTGCTTCCAATAATGTAATGTAAGGATATTGTCTATCTCCTGGAGTTGCTTTGAAGATTGAATGAAGTGGTATAGGTAAAATGCCCCACATACTGTCTGCCATCTGGTAGGTGCTCAGTAAATGTTACAAAGACGAGATGCTTGCTCTGAGTATATTTTTAGTGTTCTTACTGGCCATTATTAGTTATGATTTTAATTTTTGGCATAGCCATTACCCACATGGTTCAGTTTGTATAGTCAAGAAGAAAGACAGAGGTTCACCATGAGGGAGAAGAGGTGCACGGACATGGGTGTAGGGAAAATGGATGTTTGAAGGGGATCTAATTCAGAAGGTATTTTTCTTGATGGCCCGGAATTTAAAAGTATGTCATTGAGTCTTATGAGAAAATGATGTTTAGAGGAGTATAGTTGTTTATTTCCTCTCTGTTTTGGAAACTATTTTCAATATCTTATATAAGAATTTAGTAAAAAATTTTCCCCTTAACTAAGTTTCCTGCTATAGGCCATTAATCCTGTTATTATTGCAGAGTTTAAACAACTATAGTAATAATAGGATTATATGTATATTAATTTATACTACCTTATTCCACAGAGGATTTGAGGTTGTTTTCAGGGATAAAACCAATAAAATGGTATGACAGAAACAGAAAATAAGAAATCAGGAACCATTGAATATATATGGTATGTGGTTAAGGCCAGGGGGAAAACAGTAGCCGATACATAAATCGTAAGGGCCTGTCTTGTTACAATGCAATAACAGATTTGACTTTAAGCTTCCTGGCAACCAAAATGAAAAGGGAAGCATGATGGAGGTGGTTAAAGAGGAGAAAATGTACCTATTACTTAGGAAGCAAAGTGTTTCCTAACCCCTAGCTTCTTGTAGGAAGCCCTCAGTAGTGAGTGAAGATTGGCATTACCTTCCTGGTAGATATGGTAATGGATTTCAGCAGGCAGTTTCTCCAGGTGTCTCTTGATGAAAGCCGAGGCTGTGACATCGAGACAACTCTGAAAGCAGTTCTGCCAGGGGCCAGTGTGAGCTGATGTGAGTTCATAGGTTCCAGGGCTGGCCTAACCTGAGGGTGGTGCTCCAGAGAGTGCACTCCACAATTTGACCATCTTCCGTAAATACCATGGCTTTCAGCAGGGCTTTGATAAGGACCTATATTGTGCATATTTTATTGTTGAATTACACTGGACTCATCTCCATTAGAGATCAAACTAGAGGACTGTCAGGTTGGCATCCTCTCCTGGAAACTGAGAAGCCTGTTCAAGACTCACATTTAGCTGGATGACTGTCACACAGCCTTATGGACATTGGGCTGAGAGATTTTATCTTCTGCTTTGAACAATGGTAAGGTTAGAGAATGCTCATTACTCTGAATTTTAGTAAATGAGGAGCAAGGAGCTTTGCCTTAGGGGCCAGAACTGTGAATCTAGGTTAGAAGTGAAAAAAAAACCAAACCCAAACTCAAAACTGTGTGTGAACTACTCTGAATTTCTGAGAGCTGTAAATTAAAGGTGAACCCTGGAGACTCAGCAGTTGATATGTTTATGCTGTATTGTGATTTTTTTAACCTCAGACTTTGTTACTTTTCATATTTTAGGAGTAGTGTATAGTACACAATCCCAGAAACCCCTGTGGTTGGTAGAGCCATGTTACTTGAGTTCAGTGCTTTGCAAGGGAGGTGAATGGTTATAGGTAGGTGTTGATCCCCTCAGCACTCCTGAGTCCCAAGTCCCTGAGCCATCGCCTCCAGGCATGAGCAACCTTGCCTATTTTACCTCAGTAGACTGTGTGAGTCTTATTATTTTCTGTGTATGCCATGACCTGGAAAATATTGGGAAGTGAAGCATTACATCTGAGTGAACTTAGTATTACCTTAAAGTGCTTTATTTATAGAGTCTTGATATTATGAACAAAACAGAAAAGTATGGTTATTTGGAGAAGTGATTTCCTCTCGAAGCATAAGTTTATTTCTCCTTTTTTTTTTTTTGAGGAAGATTAGCCCTGAGCTAACATCTACTGCCAATCCTCCTCTTTTTGCTGAGGAAGACTGGCCCTGAGCTAATATCCGTGCCCATCTTCCTCTACTTTATATGTGGGACACCTGCCACAGCATGGCTTGCCAAGCGGTGCCATGTCTGCGCCCTGGATCCGAACCAACAAACCCTGGGCTGCCAACGCGGAACGTGTGAACTTAACCGCTATGCCACGGGGCTGGCCCCTATTTCTCCTTTTATTTATGTAACTTTCTGAGGTGAAAAGTAGGAGTTTCCCAGATTTTTCACTATAGGAATGTTAGGTTACAGACAAGGGAGAAGGCTAGAATGACTCATGTGATACTGGGTTAGAGTTGGAGATATCAGTGTGAATTCATATTTAGTTTAGTATAGATATAGATGGTTACATATGGAAAATATTTATAGATATGTGGGTTAGGTACATACCTGTATTTCCTAGCTCTCTCAGCTGAGAGGGCCCAGAAGCAATGACACCTGTGTAGCAACAAGCACACCTAGCACCTAGGTCTTGGTTTCTAATATAGTACTGTTCTCTGATAGAAGGAACCAGGGCTCTTTGGGAAATGGCTGATTCTAGGACTGGGGTAGGAAATATATAAGATGAGCCTGGAGCATCCCATAGTACCAGAAAGCTAGGAAGTACTAAAAAACCAATCCACAAATAACTTTCCTCCACAATAGTTAGAGTATGTCAAAGGGTCACAGGAGCCTGTTGACGAAAATAATCCATAACCAATCTATAAATGAAAATTTGGGTGAGTTTATTCTGAGCTTAAATCTGAGGATTATAACCCGGGGCCTTTCTTCCCAAAGGAAGAAAGGGCACCAAAGAAGTGGGGTGCACAGACTGGTTATATACCCCCAGAGAGGATGTTTCACATAGGATTGAAATGTCCCTTTTACAATAGTCGCGAGACTGCTCTGTCGGCACAGCGATTGATGGAAACAGCAGGTAGGTCTTCTGTCTCAGTGAACACAGCAGGGTGGCAGTCTGTTGTGTCCAGCTGAGTGGTCACAGGTGAGCTGGGTGGTCAAAGGTGAGTGCAGCAATCAGTTCCTAGCCTAAGGAAAAATGCTAATGTAGGGGGAAGTTGCACCTTTATCTCATGGGCCTTTGTTCTGGCCATAGGAAATGTCTAACCAGATATGCAATGCGTGCTCAATAGCCACAGTCAGGCCCTTTTGGAAAAACAAAGTCAGGCCGAATTAGGTTTATACCAAATGGCTTCCTCATGTACTCCAATATATCCTATTGCTTGCCATTTTTATTTGTCAAGCCAAATGAAAGAGCTCCCACTGGCCAATAAAATCAAGTAGTACTGGATTATAAGTCACAGTATAAAATAAATATCCGTGAGTTCATACTGATATAAATAAATGATTGGATAAATAAGTAAGTGTGGGAGAATAGACAAATCTCCCATGCTGAAGAATTTAAAATAATTTATGTAGGTAGATACTTTGCCCTCAAGGAAGCAGAACATAATTCTCCACTCCTTAAGTGTGGGCTTTGCTTAGTGACTTCCAGGAATGCAGTATGAAAAAGGGGAGAAAAAAGGTGAACTTTACAGTGGGGAAAACTGATAAACACTACCTCAGCCAGGTGACCAAGGTTAATATCAAAAGTGGTAAGTCATGTTGGAACTATGTTTTCTTGATATGGTGTGATGAAATGGCACTTTACTTCTGCGGTCTTCCTTCCAAAAGAAAACTCCTAACTGCAGTCTAATCATGAGAAAAACATCAGACAATTCCCAATTGAGGGACATTCTACGACATACCTGATTGTATAGTGTGGTACCCTGGATGGGATCCTAGAGCAGAAAAGGGACGTTAGGTAAAAGCTAAGGAAATCTGAATAAAGTATGGACTTTAGTATAGACTGAATAATGTGTCAGTATTGATTCATTAATTGTGACAAATGTACCATACTAATGTGAGATGTTAATAATAGGGGAAACTGGATGTGGGGTATATGGGCACTCTCTGTACTATCTTCACAATTTTTCTGTAAATCTAACACTTTCTAAAATCAAAGTGGCTGGCATGGTGGAGTAGTAGTTAAGTTTGTGCACTCTGCTTCAGTGGCCCACGGTTTGCGGGTTTGGATCCTAGACATGGACCTATACACTGCTCATCAGGCCATGCTAGGGCAGCATCCCACATACAAAGTAGAGGAAGATTGGCCAGACGTTAGCTCAGCAAAAGTCTTCCTCAAGCTAAAAGAGGAAGATTGGCAACAGGGACAGTCTTCCTCACCAAAAAAAAAAAAAGAAAGAAAGAAAGAAAAAAAGGGAGAGAGAGTAATTAAAAATAAATAAATAAAGTAAAAGTTTATTTTTTAAAAAGTAGGGAAATCTCAAGATTTGATCCTACCATTGAGATAAGACTTGGGTATTTTCATCTGAGAATAAGGTTTCTGAGAATTGTAGATACAAGTTAGCTAGACCATCAGCATCATGA